GGGCCAGCCTTCGCTCCCCATGTTCATCAATGAGCCTTGGCCCCCCATGACTCTTTCTCCAGTTCACCACTTTTCCTCCCTTTGACCCCTTTAGATAGGTACTGACCACTGCAGACAGGGAACACCCCACAAGAGCAGCAGTTTTGGAGATCTGACCAGTCGTCGTCATCACACATTGGCACTTTGTCCAAGTCGCTTCAAATTCCTCACGCTGCCCTTTTTTCCTGCTTACATCAACTTGAGGACAAAATGATCACTTACTGCCTGATATATCCCACCCACTGACAGGTGCCATGATAAACTAGATAATCAGTGTTATTCACTTCACCTGTTAGTGGTCATAATGTTATGGCAGATCGGTGTACATGCAAATTATTATCATTATTTTGGACAGAAATTCCCTAATCTATCACTTTTGGAGTAGGTGATAACAGACAACGTGACAACAGAGAGGCAGGCTAATTGTTTATTCAAAGCTGCTGCTGTGCACTGTAACTTATAATGACTATTTCCCACCATGAAAATGTCAGAGCAGAAACTCCTGATTGATTCTGTGTGCAAAAGTGTGCACGTCCCATTTTGATTTGATTTTAATAAAGATTAATAGTTTGTGAGCTCAAATCTTGAACAAACAGTGTTGACTGATCTTGTAGTAAGTGTTCTGTGTATGTAGGTTACAGCTTACTCGCCCATGGAGTAAATAGAAAGACAGGACTGTGCTGGAAGTGCGCAGGTTGTTACATGTATGTCACAAAATGTATAAAACACACAGAACTGTTCAGCTGCCACGCAGACACTTAAAGAAAAGACGTTTTCAACCCTTGGCTTTATATTTTTTATACCAATGATTTTTTTATATTAATTTTCTTTTTAGGAAATAATTACTGAGGTCTGAAGACCTCATAGCTGGCTACAGCCATGATCAACACTACCTTGTTACAACCTTAAACTAAGCCAGAAATCTTTTGCTAAAGGGCCATCTGACCCTGCTGGCTTAAAACAGGCTGCTCAGCAACCCAGAAGCTGGTCTACATTAGCAAACAGTGAGGTTAATGAGGCGAGACCAGTATACTATACATATAGGTGTGTGACCCACCACTTCTGCTACTGATCTGTCATCATGTGATATATTACTCCGGTTCTCAGGTAGATTTATACACTTTTGACTAAAGCGGCCAAATATATACGAGTGCTATAAAGTCCCATTAGTCTGTGCATCTAAAAACCAGTTATTGCTTTCTAAACCATCTGTGCGAGAAGTGTGTGACTGTATTTTTTTACTCATTAACTTGAAGTTGTGTTCAGAAATTGTAAAGCTGAAGCTATTTGAGCTCTTCATAATAGTGGATATGTTGCCGTTTGCTAGCTTCTGTTTTTATGGCTTACGGCAATCCTCCAGATCTTTCCCCTGGGGAAAATCTCCCTGTATGTAATAATGAAAAGCCTGCAGAGTCAGGGGAAACAGCTCTTCTCTCGCGTTCCATCTTAATGAGCACAACAATGAGACTCTGTCAGTTCCGCAAATAACAATTAGAAGTTCATAAAAAATGATATTAGATAAAAACGTTTATTTACACATGAAATTACTCCTCAAGGTTATTTGATATTGACACTTTAAAATGTCAGACAAAAGATGTAATTTCTTTGAACAGATTTTGCCGTGTTTGTCCTTGAATTAAAAGCTAATGAGCATATGTGTATGGATTTCAATGGGCACGTGTGTATTTTGCTTTTTTATAGCTCCATACAGCTGTAACCCAAGCTTAACACTCCCATGGGACTGATTTAAGAAACATTTTGTTGTGGGTTTTATATTCCTGCTTTACAGATACAGTAGTAGCTTGCAGCTAATGGAGCCTAGCTGTGTTCCTCCACAGCAGTGAGCTGTCACTGGAAATATTCTCTCAGCATGTCTGTCTTTTGTCCTACACTCTCTCCATACCAAACCCTGGAGAATTACTGGACCATATAGCATTGTCACATCTGCCACACTGACCGGCCTGTTTATCGACTCCTACTCTTCCCGGGGAGATGGGAGAGGACAGAACGGGACCGGGCAGGAAAGAACAGCAGGATAGAGATGGAGTGGAAATAAGGAGGCAGTGGTGGTGGAAATTTCCTGAATCATTTCTCCACTGACACATGAAGCTTCCTGGCCAATTCAGTGTATTCCATGTCTTTCATCTTCCACTCAATTGTTTCATAATCACATTCTCTTTTGGCATTAGTCACACATTACGTATAATCACTCTGTCCCTCTCGATTGATAACGTCACGCAGCTTTCTTTGTTCCATTATGATCAATTGTTCTGTGTTTGTTAGGAAGCCATTAATCTTAGTGTGCCCACTGTGCTCTAAATTGCCTAGTTTATTTCCTTCCTTTTCCAAATTAATTCCCTTAGGTGTACTTCTCTGAGAGAAAAATATGCTTTTAAAGCCAGTATTGCTTGTTGTGCATTACACCATGTGGGGCAGGGTCTTAGGAGGCTGTGCAAAGTCAATTATGTTGTATCTATTGGATGAAAGTGCAGAGAGAGAGAGAGAGAAAGAAAGAGAGAGACAGTTCTCTGGGGTCCTTAGAGGGTTTCCACCTTTCCACCAGCTGACACCATAAATACTGCGAGCAGGTAATGATTTTGACAAGTCACAACTACAAGAGTGTGCGAAATGTGGGTGTTGATGAGCTCTCGTTTGATTCTGTAAAATGTAATACAATGCTGTAAGTGTCTGGATAGTATTAAAATAGGCATTACATAAATGTAGGTTTTACATAAGCCCAAATATTAACATTTTTCTCCAAATTCCCAGAATGATTTCTAACTTATGCACATCAATTATTTCCCCCATTTCCTCTGTGAATTTCTCACTGTATTACAACAGGTCATAACCTACTTTGTTACTGTGGGGGAGCAGTTGTAAAATACTTCAATGTACAATTATGAACGTGGAATAATCTACATGAAAGAGGGTCTTAACAAGTCACAAGGGATTCAATTACGGGCATAAAGTTGAATTCAGCATGAAATCTTCATTTAGAGAAATGAACTTTTCCACCATCACTGCCCACTCTTTACTTAGAATGTCACCTCAGTGTGTCTTTTTGTAATTTAATCTCCATGATTCACATTAATTGCATTTTAATATCTTGTGAGTTTGGCTAGGTCTCTCTTATAAATAGTTTTTTGATCTCAATGGGACTTCCTGGTAAAATAATGGTAAAATAATTTTTTTTTTAAATAATTACAAGCAAACAAACCTACATAACTTTCATTACAGCTGCTATATTATCATAGCTAATAAAGCTGTGTACTGAGTAGTCCACTCTCACTAATCAGTCCTAAAGCTGTTCTGGAGTGATATATATGATTACGATAGTTTTCTTTGAAGGCTTTGTGATCTTTGTAATTCTTCCTCCTTTGCTCTTCTTCCCCACCTACATAAAACATGCGAATCAGTCCTCAGAGGACATGTACTTCCCCCCCCCAAATCACTCTCTCTGCCACAATCTCAGCAGCACCCACTTCTTGTAAAGCGCTGTGACTTTCACCCCTTACACACCTCGCTGCTAAAGATCGTTCTTCTGTGTGTGCCCAAGACTTATTGCATGTCTTTTGTATTTGGTTCACAGTTAACACACCAGGTTTCTATCATCACTGTTATTCTATTGTAATTTTTCTGCTGCTTTTTCATATGATGAGTTTGATTGTGGGATACACGCAGGAGTTGTTCTTTTTCAGGTTAATTCCAAACAAAAATCTGAGTAAATAAATGAACATAAAAAGTAAATACCTTTTAGTCTGCAGTTCAGGCTGTGTTGCTCCTCGTTTTATCCGCAGTGACCTCCTTGATAAACCACAAAGAGACTAAAAAGGGACTAGGATTAGAAAATGAGAGAAAGATCCAGTTGATAAAATATAGATGAGGGAAAAAAAATAAGAAAAACTGATTTGCTTTTCTCTTTCAAAATCACATTTTCATGCCTTCTAGTCTTTAAATGTGCATCGGTGTGAGCCAGCCTGAGCCACTGTATTGTGCAGCCTCTCTTTCTCTTTTTCATTCACACACACACTTTCACCTACTCTGTGCACCGGTATAGCTGACTCTCTCTCCCTCTCTCTCTCTCTCTCTCTCCCTCTCACTCTCTCCCTTACACACATTCATGCACATGCTCTCCAGCATGGCGCACTCTCTCTCTCTTACTTTAGCAGCTAGATTGATCTCTCTCCTTCATTCTCCTTCCTCGCTTTGTACTTCCACTGTGTACTGACTCTTCACCCTCTATCTGTCAGTTGCTCTCTCTGCTTTTTTCCCCGCACCCAAGTGCTCTTCTATTCAATTATCCCCAATTTTCTTCATTACTCTGTCTTGCTCTCGGTCTTTTTGTCTCTCACTGTTCCACCACATTTCAACCTCTCCTCCCTCCCTCTCTCTCTCTCCCTCACCCTCTCCTGCTCATTATTTCAGTCCCTCCATCAATCACACGCACTCACACTCGTCCCATGATATGATTCCCTCCCCTTTATCTTTTCCCGTCTCACATGTACAGTGGATGGATTCAGGCCACCTCACTGGTCCCCTTGTGTCTTTAGAAAAGAAAAAGTTTGGACTTTTTCCATTCATAACATGTGGTTTTATTACCTGCGCAGCAGAACTAAAAGACGATGTCAGATTATGCAGCTACATGACGAGGAATAGTTTGTGTCTGCTAAGAAAGTGACCGATCCCAACTTTGGAGGAATTATGTGTTTTCTGTCTTCTCCCACACCCTAAATAGTTACCCCTTGCGCTATCTTGCCATGCAGACATTTTTGTTTTTATTTGGTTATTTGTGAGATACTTGCTGCTGGGAGTTCTGCCCAAACCCCAGTGCAGTGAAGCTGAAGAGAATTCTCCTTGTTGGGCTCACTGCATTGAAAAATTACATTTGAAAGACTCACCAACAACAGAAACAATATCCTGGTTCTCTGGTGATCCCCAGACCTCCCGAGACCCTACTTTTTTAAGTGTTTTGGATGAACGTTTTAAAAACATACACTGGCTGACCTGATGGGACATCAAACTCCCTACTTTAAAAGGTAGTAATATAATTGCTACATAGTCAGTCCAGTTGATACACATTGACTTGCGCATCCAGATACACATTCAGATACAATGACTGATGATGATTAAAATATACTACCATAACAAAAATATATAACCTTTAAACCTCCTCTTAGAACACAGGGTCAGACCTCTGTGTAACCTTAAGGGTCAAACAGTATTTACAGAAACACGTCTTCACATGGCCAGGCCTTTCATTACTTCCTTGTTCTAAATCTAAATCTTAGGACCAGTGATCCCTATAACGCCAAACGTATTATATGTGATACATGAGTTTTTGAGCCCTCCACATGAGCAGTGTGACAATTTTTTCCCTGAAAAACCCGATGT